GCACGGGTCAGGTTGCCGCCGGCGCCTTCCCGGACGTCCGGGGAGGGGGAGATCCAGACCCTGGCAGCTGCGGTGGAAGGGGAAGGAGGGATGCTCGAGGAGCGTGGGGTGGGCAGGAGGCGATGGAGGTGTGGCTGGGCAGGAGGGCGGTGGGCTGCTTGGTGGGAGAGCTGGTCTCGTCTGGGACTTTAGCTCGGGGCTCTTTTCCCGTCATTCCAGACAAGAAGCGATGAAGATGCTGCAGCCCCCTCCCTGCTACCCCCCCCCCCCCCCCCCCCCCCGCACTCCGTAGGACAGCCCGGGGCAACGCTGGCTCTGTGAGCACAGCCAGGATGGTGTCATGGATGGATACGGCAAAGCCAGCCCTTTGCATCACCTCCGAGAGGAGCCGCAGGGGATACATGCAGCTCTCCAGGAACACCTCTGGCACAGCCCTCCGACCCCATAAACACGCATCTTCCTCCATTTCTTCTCTGTTTCTGTGCTGTCCATCCTATTACAGCTTCTCTCTGCCCTCCTTTCCCCACAAGCATCCTCCAGTAGCGCTTGCTTCACCTCTTCACCATCACCCCCTGCCTCCATCACTCCCCCCCCCGTTGTTCGCACAGCACCATCCCATCCCCATCCCCTGCCCGCACCCTGCCCGTCCCCGGGGGCAGCACCAGCCCCGCACTCACTGCCTGCCGTGAAGTTCACCGCGGTGCTGGCGTTGCCGTAGGCATTGCTGGCGGAGCACACGTACTCCCCCTCGTCCTCCAGCAGCACGGGGTGGATGCTGACCCGCAGCATGTTGAAGGCCAAGGTGACGCTGAGCCGCGGCGGGGTGGTGGGCTGGGGCAGCGCCGTGGAGGCCACCAGCGCCTGGTCCTTGAAGAGAGCCAGCTCTGCCTGCGGGCTGCTGTCCACCGTGCACTGCAGGACACCCTGCTGCTCCTTGGGGGCCTCCAGGAAGGTCGTCAGCACCGGCACCCGCGGAGGATCTGCCCAGGCCAGACATTACACGGAGGGTGAGCAAACCCTGAGTCTGCACCCAGAGCCCCCTGAGGCTGGCATGCCCGGCCCCAGCTCCGGCCTGGGAGGGCTCCCGTCCCCCCCAGGTCCTGGGTGGCATCGCCCTCCCCAGGCTCCTCAGACGCCCCGAGGTGTTTGCAGCGGTTCCTGGCACCTCTCCGCCAGCGCCGGGGCAGCAGCAGCCCACACTTGCAGCAAAAGCGTAAGCCAGACTTTCTCTTTCCAGGGTTTTCCCCTCCATCCCAGACAGACGTTTCTCCTAACTGAAGTCTTGAAAAATTTCGGTAATTTCAGGTTGACTGAAACATGTTGTTTTAACAGAACCAAAATATTTGTTATTGCATTTTTTTTCCCCTTTTTGTGCGACACGGCAGGCAGGTGAGACGCGGGGTGGCCACACCGCTTCTCATCAGAAAGTTCTGCTTGAAAGGGGACATGACCGACCAGGGTGGGTTTTATTCAGACTAGGCGTTTATCAAGGAGATATGCTCCCACAAACTTTCCACTTTTAACACTTTGGCATTTTCTAAGGGTGGAGGATGTTTTGTTACAAAGCGCGCAGAGCTCTAGTTCAAGTCCTGTGCGTGGGACACGCAGCGTTTGGGGACAGTGCCAGCAGCGAGGGCCGTGCAAGGCACCCGCTACGTGCCAGCCATAGCCCTGCGCGGCCGAACGGCCTTGCTTGGCATCCCACCCCCAGCACCATCCCGCCTCCGGCACCATCCCACCTCCAGCACCACCCC